TTTACAAAAAATAATAATAGCTACATAAGCAATAAAATGCATGTCTCTAGCATTAATTAGCACATATTCAGGTTCTTCCAAGTCTTGAAAGTACGAATGGCCTTATGATATATTCTACAATGATAAACCTTCTTATTTTGAAATGGATATTCACATCCTAGGCCTTCCTAAATGCCTATCCCATAATTGATGATAACATTCTTCTTAACTTTTCATATGTTGTCCATTCCTTCATTGTTTTTGTTCTTACAGTCCCCCTATATATTTCATAACATATTTATCAGCTCAACTTACACTGCACAACATATTAACAATTACCTATAACATTTTGACAACTTACACTTAAGCTATTAATAACATATTTTACCATTTCATAATAGATTTATTAGCTGCCTTTTATAACAAATTTATCAGCTCAATCTGAACCACACAGAACGTATTGACAACTACTTATAGCGTATTGACAACTTAAGCTATTAACAATACATCTTGTCATTTGATAATAGATTTATTAGCTCAACCTGAACCATACAGAATATATTGACAACTACTTATAGTATATTGATAACTTATACTTAGGTTATTGACAACACATCTTACCATTTGATAATGTATTTATCAACTCAACTAAGTAGCAATATAATCTCGAATACACCATTACAAATGTAAGCCTTATGATTGCTAGCCATAGATATACCACATAAAGAGAGAAAGAGAGACCATCCAAACTCATATACTCATAGAGAGAGAAAAAGACAACCCATATGGCTTTATTCGACCAACAGACAATAAAAGATTGAATTAAATGATTAGCAAAGAACACAAACAAACCAATCTCATTATTTACCTTGTTCAGCATGGTCACAATAACAGTAAAAGTGAAGGTCGAAGTTGGGCTTTTCTTCCTTAATGAATTCCTACAGTTGCAAACATCGAACATAATTAGAAGATCAAAGATGCAGCAATATGGGATGGGAGGATAATAGTGGGTTCACATTTTAGCTATAAAATGATCCTATTTGGCTCACTTTTTTGAAAATGATTGCAAGAGCATAGCTTATTACCTCTAGAACCAGTAATTCACTAATTTAGGTGGGCCAGGCTTATTCAGATCGAGTTTGAAGTATCCTATCCTTTTTAAAAAGTTCATATAGCCAAGCCCGGTCCTAACACCTTTGGACTTATTTGGACCGGCCTAAATACCCAAAAAATTTTAAAAAATAGTTTTCTTTATTTTTTGAATCAATTTTAATTTTTAAATAATTCTATTACGAATAAAATATATTTTAACTTTAAAAGAATAAAATAAAAAATAATTTATCAACTTTGTACTTAGGTAGCTCTGTTATTATTTTGTTGTATTAAGTGTGATTTATTCATGAATGTTTCCTTTACTTATAAATTAATGTCTTAATTATTTAAATATTGCTCTTATCATAGTCATATATAAATATTTTATATATTTTAATTGAATTATATTATTTTAATTATGATTAAGTTGATCTCAATTCAATCGCAATTAGACTATTAACTTAAAATTATTGTCCTGATTAGTTTAAATTTTTTAATAACTTTAGGGTAAAATTTACTTTTTATTTTTATGAATATAAGAAAATAACTATCATTATATTATATAAAGAAAAATTATTTAATTATAGTAAGCTATTATTTTTTTGATTCATTTTTTTAACTTTTTATATTTTTTAACTCTTATATATAAGAGATTTTTACTCTAGTTTATTCTTAATTTTTAACCAAGTCTAGTATAGACAATAATCGAGTAATTATTCAAGAATATTATTCTATTTATTATATTTATTTAGTAGTAGAATCAGGAATTCATACATTCCCAAATTTTATTTTTAAAACTATTTTTAATTTTATTTTTACTTTAAAATTAATTATCTTAATTCATAAAAAATAAAAAAAATAATTTTTTTATATACAAATGATGTATAAGACTCAAAAATTTTTTTTAAAAAAATTCTTAAAATATAAAAATAAATATTAAAATATATTTTAAATATTATTTTGAGATATTTTATTAGTTAGAAATACTAAAAATATGAAGATATAGCTATTTTTAATTTTTTAAAAAATAACTATATGAATACACTTAAATATATAGTATTTTGATATAAAACTTAAAAAATTAATTAATATTTATTATATTTTACATATTTTTAAAAAAAATTATTTTTTATTCAAGTATTTGGACCAAGCTTGAACCTGATTGGGCTTGGCCTGAATTCACTCGGGCCTATTTGGGCTGCTTGAATAGGCTCGAATAATAAAAAATTAATATTTTTTGAGTTTGGTCCTAAATTTTTCTAGCAGGTTCGGGCTAGCTCATTAGACTTGACCCAAATTATCGGCTCTAGTTACCTCCCTTGCATGAAAATGGCTTCTCTTTCTTTGTTTTTTTCCCTTTTGATTCAGTCAGGGTAAATGAGTAATTTTACTTATAGAATTAATCACACCAAATGACCAAGAGATTGCAGAATAATTTCTCTATTTTGTAGGACCTGGCTGTATTTAAGTTTCTTCTGTGGAACCTGATTACAATTTTTCCTTTTAATTATATTTATTAGTTGCATCATTAAATTTTATCATAAATTTTTACCCTTTATTAAATATTAGTAAAATAAAGTATGCTATTAAAATATATATATATATATATATAATAAAATTAAAATTTAAAACTTATTAAATTTTTAGATTAAAATTTATAAATTTTAAAGTTTTTCTTAATTTTGATAATAGATAAAAGATGTGACCCATAGATAGAAAATGAATGGCCTCAGTCCTCGGATTTAGAAGGCTCGTTTCCACACACATCTTTATCATGGTAATAATATCTACCAAATATGTTAAAGTCATTACAGTAATAGTTAACAAGAAAAATATTATTAAGGACCACTAAGGAGAATCGTATATATTTCCAATGCTTTCAAGGTGCGTTTATATTTCCAATGCTTCCATACATTATTGCATTGTAAATTTGAGTAGAATTATGAAAGATAAAATTTGCATTTTGGGAAAATTAATAGGATGCTTTTAATGTTGCTTATAATTATAAGAAAAGTAGGGATATTATAGTTTTTTTCATATAAAATTATTTTTAAATCAATCCCCTAATCCTACATTAATATTTCAAATTTTTTTATTTAATATTAAATTAACGTTCATGGTCTTTGAATGATACCCCCTCTATTTCTATTTATATAAAAAACTATCACTTTTTAATTTTTTTTATATAAATAAAATCATCTGTTTTAATAAGCATTTATTACACATTTTTTAAATTATCTCTCATAATTTACATTAACAAAAAAATAATTAATATATATTTATGTTAATTAACATAAAATATTTTAATTTAATTATTTTATTTTCAGACATAATTATTATAATTAATTAATTTTTTTAAATTATATGATATAATTTTTTTATATATAAAAATAAAAGGAGTATTTTCTCTATTTAATATCAATTTCATAGTTATTGTTGATGTTATAAAAATCAATTCTGATCGGTCACTTCAATCGATATGCTAGTGTACTGAGTACTGACTAACCAAATTTTAGTCTAATTTAGAATTAGAATACCTCAAGTCCTCAACAATTAAACCTTTTAAAAATAAGTCAATGTAGGATAAGATCAATATAAATTCTGAAAAAAAAAAAACAATACACCCTCTGATTCATAAAAAGTGTTACAAAAACATTTTTCACATAACAAAGATAGTCATAGAATAATTTTAAGTTTTGATAAAATAAATCTAGCAATTTCTTAAAAATGTCCCTAGTATTTCTTCAATATAAAAAGCATCTGACCTCAATTCCTGTATATTTAAACAAAATATTTAATACCTTGTTAAAAAATTAAAAAAATCACTTATTTTAAACAATGAAAAAAATTGAAAGTGGAAGAATTACATAAATGAAGAGTCCAATTTATTTTTTATCAACTAAACTTGATATAAATGCTAGAGACTCTTGCCATTAAAGTAAGTGCTTAGGGGAGGTTTACCAATTATTTTCATTATCTCACCAGAGTGGGAAGACATTAAGTTTACTCCTTATGCTTAAATAAAAAAAAAGAATCCAATTTTATTTATTAACAAAGATTGGACCTAATGAAAGATACTATAATCCTTTAGAATATAAGGAATCAGGTTTAAATTCCCTGTAGAAAAAGTGATAAGCCTCCATTTTCAAATAAAGGAGAAAATAATAAATTCACATAGTTTTAAAAATTGGTTAAGTATAATAATTATGTCTCAAAATTAAAAAATTTGAAAAAAAATTATTCCTATAATTAATGAAACAAATTTATCTAGTAAAAATAAATATTGACTTTATGAGGAATAATTTGAAAAAAAAAGTGATAAATACTTCTTGAAATTTATAATTTTACTTATAAATAAAAGTAAAAAATATATGATAATTTTTCTTATATTTAAAAATAGAAAAAGTAATATTCAGCACCGACGAATATGTTATAAATTCCCTCAAATTAAAATTAGATAGTAATCATATTATCTTAATATATCCTCCTCCACTTTCCTACTCTCTGATCTTTCTCATCACTCTTCTTTATTATGGCCTTGGTTATTGATATTTTTTCAAGGAACAAACACATCCAATTTTTTTACTAAATAAAATTGGCATGAGCATTAAAAACTCCCTCCATTTAAGCAATTGGTTGAGAGAGGTTTATCCATTATTCTCAATATTTTGAAAAAGATATTATTTGCTGTTAGTAAAGTTTACTCTTGCTCTTAAAAAAAGTTTAATTTTTATTAATAAATATTGAATATAATGAAAGAAAAAAGTTTAAATTTTTATTAATAAATATTGAATTTTGAATATAATGAAAGATGCTAATTACTCATAATATAATGAATTAGCTTTAAATGCCGTCACATTTAGCACCGACCAATATTCTATAAATTTCTTAAAAGCTAGATAGCTAGCTATCCCATACTTATCCTCGACTTTCCTACCTCTATATTTTTTCTCATCACTCTTCTCTGTCATGGCTTTGATTACTGATATTTTTTCAAGAAACAACCATGCAATGGAAAGAAAAACTAGCTGGTTGGTCCTCTTTCTTCTCTCAACACTACTCTTGGTGGGTGAAATCCATGGAAGCAGAAAGCAAGAACAAGCTCTCAACAATGTTCTAAGCAAGGCCAAGTTCAGAGGAGTTTCCACTGATAATAGCAACATGACAAACTTCGAGGTAGATAAGGCTGTGTTTGGTGAGGATGAAAAGGCTCGTTACCTTTATCCTCAAGAAGGATTGAAAGAGAAAGATAGAATCGAGAGACTCCCAGGACAACCTGAAGATGTGAACGTCTCTCAGTATGGAGGCTATGTCACTGTGGACAAGGTTGCAGGACGAGCTTTATATTATTATTTTGTGGAAGCTCAAGAATCTGATAGGCACAAATTGCCTCTTCTTCTTTGGCTCAATGGAGGTATTATACTTTCTTTTACCATGCCAGCTTGGGATAAATTAAGATTGAAATAAATCTACTAACAGATCATTTATCATTATCAATCTCTTCAATTACTTGAACTCTGTAAGAATGTTAATAGCATTTGCCTGGCTAGTTGGACCAAGAATTAATCTTATGCTCCTTCCATTTTTAAATATGAGTAAATTTTAATAAACTCACACTGTTTAAGAAAGCTGATTAATTTTTATAATTATATTTGAAATTGAAAAGATTGGGCTAAAATATCCTTATAATTAATGTTTCTTTTTTTTCATCTAATCCAATGATACTATCCATTTATGAGGGGGTAATTTGAGAAAAATATAGTAAATATTTTTTGAAATTTGTAGTTATACTTACAAAAAAAAATAGAGCGTATTTTAAACAAATAAAAATAAAAAAGAGAAGGAGCATGACATATCCAACTTGGCATGATGGAAAAGCGAAGGGAGGAAGAAACTGGTTGCTTAAGAACTGGGCAACCTAACTTTGAACAAATGAAAATCAGTCTCAATTGGTTGACTTGGTCAATTTTTTTTTTTTGAAATAATCACTTTCGAGACATAAAAACATAAGCGATTGTGTAGGCAAAAAAGTGTTGATCCACATTTTTTTTTTTAAAAAAATCATACATGATCCCTTAGATTTTATTTATAAGGCTTACTTATCGATTCTTAATATCAGATCTTTTATAAAATTTGAGAAAGCATTTATTACTAATTTTCAAAAATTTATTATCTCTTTTACTAATGGTCTTAATTTTAAGAATTATATAACAAGTTCTCATAAAAGTGAAGACGAAAGCAGGGGATTTCTTTTCTTTGAATTTAAAAATTCATTATTTTCATGATTAAAGTTTTTCTTTTTTTACAATGACATTTATTGCCATGTAGCTTCCGTGGAAAAGTGGAAAAACGCATCTAGCTGGTATTGGTGCTTACTTAGGTGTCATTCAACATGTATGTTTATGAAGTCCAGCACAGCGTGATGGATACTAAAATAATGCATAGTATATTAAAAAAAAAGAAAAATGACAATAAATTCATTCAATTATGTAAATGATAATCTGATTTTTTAAAATATTATAATTTTATTAAAATCTTTAGGAATTTTTTTATCAATAACTTTTAAATTAAAAAAATTATTTGACTCTTATTGACAAATTATGATTTCTTATTCAATTATTATAATTTTTTAAATAAAAATTGTAATTCTTTAAACAAAAGTTGTGAATATAGTTTGTTATTTTGAGAACTTATTTTTCAATAATAAAAATTACACTTGATAAATTGTGATTTGTTGTTCAACTTTTACAATTCACAAAATAAAAGTCGCTATTCCTAAGTAAAAGTTGTAATTGAGACTTGCTTTTTAATAACAGAAATTACATATAACAAGTTGTGATTTCTTCTTCAACTCTTTTGATTTATGAAACAAAAGTTGTAATTCTTTAAATAAAAGTTATAATTGGGACTTGTTATTTTCCATAAGGGTAAAATAATTTTTTTACTTTAAAATTTATTGACACAGAGGTCATTAGGAACTTTATTGAAATTATGATATTTTAAGAGATTAAATTATTATTTATATAATTTAAAAAAATTTTATTATCATTTTTTTCTAAAATAAACTGAGATTAAGAACCTGTCTCTATAAGCTTGTTGAATTTTGGTGCAGGGGACATATTTTCTTCTATTGCTTGTGCGTTTAGCCAACTGTCTATTTTGTTTGATGTGTGTTTTGTTGACTTTCCAATTGGTTTTGATCTTTCACACGCGCAATCGTGTTGACGGTGGAATAAAATGTCACTTTGGGACCTTCAACGATCATGCAATAATTCATTGAATAATTAGAAGCCAACATCTGATTGGTGTATTTTTTTTTAATTTTTAATTACAGGCCCGGATGTTCCTCTCTAGGGTATGGAGCAATGCAGGAGATTGGGCCCTTTCGAGTGAACAGTGACGGCAAAACGCTTTACACAAACAAATACTCTTGGAGCCTTGGTAACTCATCGCCACATTGTCAATCAATAATATTATACCAAATTATCTTTTTATGTTGATATCAATGATTGTATATGTATATAGAAGTGGGAACATGGCCAACCTATAATATATGGGTTGAGGATAAAATAGGTTAGATTGGGTTTACTCTATTTTTATATGAATTAAAAAAATATTAACTCAATCCAAATTGTGTGGATTAATAGGTTAAATGAACAAATCCACCAATCCATTTAACTTTCTTTACTTTTTTTTTTAAACTTACATCAAAATAATAAATATTAATATTTCATACAATTTATAAAATTCACAAGTTAAAAGTGAGAAATGAGAGTTTCGGTCGATTCAAAGATAGAAAAGGTACAAATAATCAAATAAGAGAAGGAGGAAAGGTTGGACACAATTGAGAGATTTGCTTTGATTTTTTATTTTCATTTTATTCTATTTCTTTTATTATCTTTTTTGTGAGTGATGCTAGAAACTTTAAATTTTCCTTCTTCCCCTCACATATTCTTTTTATATGGGTTAACTAGGTCAATCCTAACCTATAAAGGTTGGCCCATTTGGTCCATAATTAAAATGGTATGAGTTAAAGAAATTGTTTTTGTTTGGATGATTTTTATTCAACCCAACTCATATAATAAGGTATTCAAGCCAACATATATAACCCGATACATACTCTGACTCTACAACTATTATATATTGACTGACATTCATTGGCTGGGTTCTTTTTGAAGCTGCAAACATTCTATTTTTGGAATCACCAGCAGGAGTGGGATTTTCATATTCAAATAAGACATCAGATTATGACAATAATGGGGACAGAAAAACTGCTTTAGAAAACTACATATTCCTAAGGAATTGGTTGAAGAGATTTTCTGAGTACAATTCCTCTGAGTTTTACATTGCTGGAGAGAGCTATGCGGGCCATTATGTTCCTCAGCTTGCTGACACCATTCTTCACCACAACAACCACCCCAATTCCTCCTCCTTCATCAACCTTAAAGGCATCTTGGTATGCTCTTCTTTCTTCATCATCACTGGTATATTAATGCATAGCTATTTCAAAAATTGAACTTGTTGCTTTCATCATGGCTGGTGTGTATGATGTGTTAAGTTGTTTTAAGTATGAGTGAATTTGAGTTGATGTGAAAAGCTTTGCATCAAATAAAATTAAATTTAATAACTAATATATAATAAAATGAAAGAATTCATGAATTTGAGTTTTGAGATTTCAAATTAAGATATGATGTCATTCTATAATTTCTCCTCCTTTTCAAACCATTACATTGCTCCCCGTTCCTAACATAACGATCATGAGCTATATATTCTAAAGTTAGAAACATGATATATATGTGGGGCATGAATGGATTGTGTAGATAGGAAATGCAGCAATAAATGATGAGACAGACAGTAGAGGATTATGGGATTTTCTTGCGAGTCATGCCATAATATCAGACAAAGCAGCCTTAGATGTACAGTTGTGCGATTTCTCAAACGTTGCCACAAATCTTAGCAATGAGTGCCAAGAAACATTGGAGGAAATCGAAACCAACATTATAGCCATCGATCTATACAACATCTATGCTCCTCTATGCCACAATTACAACCTCACTTCCCTTCCTAAGCCACAAACTGTAAGTATATGTTCTACTTTCTATAGAGTTTGGATCTGTATTATTAATTAGTTTAGAGTAGAGTTTGGGAATGTTGGTGCAGGAAGTGATAGACCCATGTAATGAAGTGTATGTGAAAGCTTATTTGAACATGGCTGACGTACAAGAGGCACTACATGCCAATGTCACAAAACTCACACATGACTGGTCACCCTGTGGTGGTCCTATCACCAAATGGCTTGATAGCCCTGACACTGTGCTTCCCCTCTTACATCACTTACTCAATCATGATGTTCGAGTTTGGATCTTTAGGTATTCACGCTACATATCTCTCTTTTTTAATACATAGGTCTCATATATTGCATAGAATTTAAATTTAACATATACATATATCGCATTATATATTTACATCTATCATTTATGAATATTATATGATTTACTTTGAATTTCATATTGAAAAAATTAATTATCATTTGGTCCATTTAATTTTGACTAGTGTTTATGATTCAATCTTTATAGTTTTGACTAGAATACAACTTAGTTCTTGTAATTTTGGTAATTTAAAACATTAGTCCTTAAATTTTAAAATAACTTTAGTTTTTATAATTTTATTTTCTAAAATATAAGAACTGATATTTTAAATAATTAAAATTATAAAAATTGAATTATATCGAGTCAACGTTCAAGAATTGAGTTATAATTGAATAAAAACTATAAAAATGTGTTACAATAGTGGGTCAAAATTTAAAAACTGTATTACAACTTAATCAAAAATGTAATGGCGAAAAGAATAATTTTTGCCTATATATATTGGTATTGACATATGACTAGCCTGTTGTTATTTGTACATTTTAGGTTTAATATTAATCATTGGTATTGATAAAGACTATTATTTTTAAATTGTGTGTATTTTCATGCATCCCAACCAAAAGAAGAAATTATGGGTATTTGAAATTTTGAGCAAAGATTTGGAAAATAATGCAGTGGGGACGTGGATGGAAGAGTTCCGGTAATTTCGACCGAGTATTCCATTGAATTGTTGAATCTCACTGCTATGACTTCTTGGCATCCTTGGTTTGTTGATAGAGAGGTAACCTCTTCACATTCACACTATTGCACAAAATTTGAGTTGAAATGTAACAATAATATTAAAGGACCAAAATATTAAATCTAACTTAAATAAAGATTAAAATATCTGAAAATTTAAAATAAGGACCAAAAAATCTTTAATGAATTGGTTTATAAATGTGTTACTTTGCAACAATCAAAAAAGTATTTATAAATGAAATTCGTTAATTTGTAAAGAAAACACTTGTCAAATATATCATCATTTTCAGTGATTAATTTGCTACTCTCATACGCTTATTTATAACTTTCAAAATACGAATTTGCAAGTAAAATTTGTTAATTTATGAAGAAAAATAATTTTTGAGTAATGATATATTTGACAAATTTTTCTTTACAAATTAGCAAGTTTTACTTTGCAAAAAATTTTTAAAACTATTTTTAAGAAATTTCCCTCCTAGTATTTTCTTCTTCCTATTACTCTCCTCATCCAAACAAAGGATTAATCCAAAGTACTCAAGCTAAAAATAGCAAATGAATCATGTGATTTAATGTTTATCAGGTGGGAGGATACACACAAATTTACAAGAAAAACTTCACTTTTGCAACAGTGAGAGAAGCAGGGCATAAGGTCCCAAGCTACCAGCCAGCAAGGGCCCTTTCTTTGATCACTCATTTCTTACAAGGCATTCCTCTTCCAACATATAAGCAACACATATTTTGATCCATTAGATATATCATATAGGGGCCATATGGATCAGGCCAGGCATCATCCTTGTCCATTAACTTAGTACCTAAATTTTTAGGTCTAGATTAATCCCACACGAAAAGGTTTTTAAATAAAACATAACACCCCTTTTTATTGTAATTTGGTTTCTCTTTTTATTCTCTCTTATCTTAGATCACACAGCTATGGAATGACTGTGTAATAAGTAGAAGAGGATAACTTTTTATTTATGAGCCTTTAATTTTGTGCTTATATCAAGTACTCAAATAAATAGACTGCATTGATTGTGCAATTATGATGGTTATTATATCAATTGCATGTGTTTTATTAATTAATCAACTTAAATGAACGATCATATTACATGGAGCATATTAGCATTAATTACTCAAGTTATGTTCGCTTCATCTGGCCACGTCATTAAATTTTTTCAACTTTCATCCACTTGACTTGATGGTTCGTTTATTAACAACATTAATTCTTGTTAACAGAACTATCATATAAGCATGAAAAAATAAAAATCTAATTCTTATCTCAATATTTCCTAATTCAATATCACAGGAAATGTAAGTTATGGCAGTCATATGTTATTTTTTTAGCATACTTTCTTTATTTCTATTTACAAGTTACTTCCAGCATATTTCATTAGAGCCTGAAAGAATTTTAAACTTCATTAATTATAACTCTATCTTAAAATTTAATAAGTTTTCACCACTACTTTCTAATAAGAAAAAATTATTTTTAATATTTTTTCTTAGCATTTAGTAAAGGTAGAAAGATAAAGATGAACATAAAAAGTAGTAAAGTGTCCTATAAATATGATTAAGATTAATCTTTTTTGTCTACCCATAAAATCAAATGAGTACCTCATACAATGCTACTACGAAACTATCACTTATATATTTCACAAATTCTTTGTAACGGGTGAGACTTAACATGTAGTTACAACATATTTTATAATAAACAATGATGTAGTGTAACCCTTTCTTAAAAGTATTAATATTTTTTGAGATAATCCTTTAACTTTTATCTTATTTATAATTCAGCCCTTAACTATGACTCATTACAACTTAGTCCCTTAATGTTTAACTCGTTTGTAACTCAATCCCTCAACTTTTCACCGTCAATAAAATTTATCCATTTTCGTTAGTTCTCATTTCTTATGTTAGTGCCACATCAGATCCCATGTCCATGTAAACACCACATAGACAATGAATCAGTATGAGGTAAAAAAAACAGAGAGAGAAATTTTATTTTAAGAAAAGGATTTAATATTATTTAAATTTTATTTTTTTACTAAAATATTAAGAAGATTTGTCTGCATAAAGGATTAGGCTGTTTGATTGGCTTAATCGTGTCCTTGCGTCTTCTCCATCTTCATCGTGTTGTTTGAATTTCTTCCCTGCTGAAGAAGGCTCACATCTCTTTCTTGCCTCTATCAAGTCATATTCTCTCTATTGATAGCCTTACACAATAAGTAGGTAAGTTGTGATTTTTTGTTTTGGGATTTATTAAATCATCGTCCTCTTGTCTCTAATCATCTATGGGTTCTATTATGCTTTTGGGTGGTGAAAATTTGTTCTCCTTGTGTTCTTCCAACTAATGTAGGCATAGAAGAAATGGATCTCTAAATTCCTTCTCTACTTCTTCAACTGGAATTATTAGGTGAGATTTTTTTCCCCCTTAAAAAATTAGTTCTTCAATTTTTAATTCTCAATATAGTCTAATCCTAACCTAGATGTGCGTGACTATGGACATTATGCATAAAACTCATTGACTAATCTATAGTCTTCAACAATTGTAATCTATAATTATAACTCATTTTTTCAAAAACTATAAATGGCTATAAGATGCTATTGAAAATCAATTATGTTATTGAAATTTTAGTTTTCAATAAGGTTGAAATCTTTCTTTAAGTCCTCAATTTGGGTTTAATATTTGAGAGATCATCTTGTTTTGTTTTGGTTGTGAACAAGTGATGATGGATAGAAATTCAAAATGCTGGGTGCCGTAGAAATTATACACACACATGCATTGAGAATTTTTTTTAAGCTCCTTCATCCCGCTAATAATCATTTTTGTTTTAATTTTAATTGTAATTATGGTTTATTTATAGAGCAAGGGGAGATGATCAAAGAGCAAATTTGAGCATTTCACAACAAGAGAAGTTAATACAAGGCTTCAAGAGAAAAGAAGAATAAATAAAGATATATTATATTTTGGAAGTGAGGTTGTTTGTTGGCATGGTGTTTTTATTGGTTGTATATGTATAATAGTAGATTACAGGCCTATAGCATTGTATTATAGGTGTGTAATCTTTAGGAAAGTAAGAAGTATGAAAAGTAAATTTAATGCTGCTGTATTAAGGAGGATTTGGTTAATATATAATATTGATGCATATAGTGCTTCATCCTCTAGCGATTTTAGCACCAAACTTAATTGTATTAGAGTTGGCTAGAGCTTCTTCTAACCTTAACAATGGATAACAATCAAGTTCATTACTCCAAAAGCATCCAAAATACATAATTAGTTTCCAAAATACATAACAGGTTCTAAAACACATGCAAAATACACAAGATGTTCCAAATGCATCCAAATACATTATCAGTTTCCATAATGCATCTTCTATTGTTAGGGTTGTGAAGGGGGAGCAACATTAACAGATTCTTGCTGTGAACTTCTTCCCACTGTGCATGTTTTTTATTTTGCCCTTAATTTCTACAAGAAGTATAATGAAGTTATGAAGTTGTCCTTCAAATCTTATTAGGTTGAAAAGGCTCATTAGATGCTCTTTTTCTTAATTTTGACGGTCTTCCTAGTCTTCGATGATAGGATGAGGTTCCATCTCCTCCTTACCTGTTACTTCCCACATTTCTTGTCCATTAATTGGCTTTACAATATGGGAGTAATACTTAACATAGGAATCTATCTTTAAGTAAGGATGCACATAATCATGAGGATCTTCTTGTTTCGCATTGATAGAACTAACTGTAAGCTTGAAATTAAAAATTGAAAGTAAATTTATAATTTAAATACTCCAAGACAACACTAAAATTTGTAACAAGCTTGCAAGGTATCCCAGTCAAGTCTCACCATCTACAACTACAACTCTTAGTAGTAAGGTCAATTGAAAATTTATGTAAGTAATAGGAGACCTCAAATTCAAATTCCCTTACTTATCGTGCAACCCACTTTTATGATTCACTTACTTCTTTATCCAACCTCTACCTTATATTTGGGCATACACTTCCATGACTTCTAAAATTCTCCGTCTTTCTTCTATTCTCTTGAAATCTTGTCATGATGTAAGTGTGAGTCCATTCTAACAAACCAATAATTAAAAGTTCTTGAGCCTCTAGAAGCCTACCATTAAATGACTCTAATATATTATTCATAATCATGTCACACTTTGGATATTAATTAAAGTGAGATTTTGTCCAATAATATGGAGGGAACTTCATCAAATGGTCATATGCCTCTTTAGATCTATTTTTAAACTCATGCATTTTTTGCTTCCATCCATTAACATACGTTGCTTTTGTAGCTTGCAACACCAAATCTCTAATCATAGCTTCATCGCCATATCTACTCTTAATGTTGGCATATAAATGCCTAACACACAAGCGATGCTCAACTTCTGGCATTAATCCTTACTAAAAAGAAAATATGTTAAAGCACAAAAGATAGAAATGCATATAGGTAAAGAAATAAAAGTGCAAATTAAATACCTTGTGCTAATCAGAAATAAAGACCCATCTTTATGTTCTTCCTATGTCATTTAGAATATGCTCAAGAAATCATGACCATGAATCTCGATTTTCACCTTCAACTATAGCTATTGTCAAAGAAAAATATTGCCCATTTAGATCATGTCCCACTGCTACTAGCAATATTCCACCATAATGTCGCTTCAAAAAGCATCCATATAAACCAATGATCAATTGACATGCTATTAAAAATCCTATCTTGGTAGCATCCAAACAAAGATATAATCTTTTGAATCATGATAGTCTATCAATAAATGGATGTTTTGTCAAAATTTTGAATGTAATTTCAAGACTTTTCAAGAGTACCTCATTATTGTAATCCTATAATCTCTTATAGTCATCTACAAAATCACCTTCAATATCTTTTTTTGCTTTTCTTAGTGCCCAATAAGCCTTAGACACTAACACATGTTCCATATAATCCTTTCTAATTGTGGGTATCACATCTCCAAAACTCGTTCTCATTTGTTTCCATTCTACCTTTGATCTTTTTTGACACTTATTTAGTTGAAACATTCCTATAACTAAAAGTTACACCACAAGTGTGTTTTGGATTATAAGTTCTCAAACTATATGTCATGGAATCCCTCTCCTTACTTGCAAATATTAGCCAATCAAAATGCATACACTTTATACAACACCTCATACTATCATTTTTCATGTACATTGTTTCATACCCATTCTTAAGAGAATACTCCCTTAAAACTTCCTTAAATTCATCAATCGAGGTGAACTTCATTCAAGTTTAAAGATATAATCTTTGCACATCTTATTTGCATTATACTTTTGTAACTACCATTCACAACACCCTCTTCCAAATCCAAATCAAATTCACCTACAGATTCTAATGAATCAATATTGCGATTAGATGATAGGGAGCCTACATCTTCATCAACAAGTGTCAAGGCATTCACGTCATCAATTGGCATGTCATCTTCTTGGAAATAAGTATGATCATCTTCCTAACTACCAAACTCATTATCTTCATAATTTGAACAATCACTACTTCATTCATGACTCCTGATTTTTTATCATATGGGTTGACATCACATAAATATCACAAGTTATATTATGATATTAATATTAATCAAAGATGTACACTTGCCCATGCTAGTTGAAGCATCCATGTATCCGAAACTTTATATACTCACATTGGAAAAAAAAAAGAGAAAATAGATTACATTTTTTTTAATGGAAAAGGGAAATTCATTTAGTAAAACTATAAGAGTACAAATGTAAATCATTGTTCATCAGTAAAAGTCCTAAGGTTATATGCTTCTCATAATTTCCAGCAGAAAATACTAATTTCCACTTTCCAAGAAATATTAGTTCTTCTAGATTGAAGAATGTTAAGCGGCCATGAATTGATATCCTTCTTGCAAAATTCAATGTACATATTAGTTAGGAGGATCTTTTTCCATACTGAACCTATAAAGAAAAATGGATTACATTGAACATTTAAAAGTCATCTACTATCACATATTATTAAATTCACACTTTGGGACCACTAAATAAAAACC